TTCCAACCTAGAAATCTATGAATCTATGGAAGTTGCTGCAGCTGTTTGCAGAAGATGACTGGATGAAAGACGTGTTGTAGATGTAGAGGTTTGAAAGTGGATTTTGACTCACTGGAGGAATGGATACACCGCAGGCAGCAACAATCGGTATTAGGAAACTTAGAAAAAAAAAAAAAGACCCTAGAATTTATGTAAAAAAAAATCCTACATGTGCTAAGCTTGAAGGAAGAATAGTCTTGTGGTTAACAAGTGTATTCTTTATGTCTGAAAAGAAGCACATGCAGTTGTGCATAAACAGGCTCAAGAGCACGAGTGATCTCGCAGAGTAATCGCCGGTCTGAGAAGGCCGGGTGGGCCGCAAGCTTCCTCTGCAGCTGTGAGCGAGGGACGTACGCTCCTGGGCCTGTGCGGTAGGGTCGTGGGTTGGGGGAAGTGGGCAGTTCAGATTTTAATGAAGTCTTTTTCTGTTGTAGCCGTGTCAGGGGTGATGGGATGATGACGGAACAAAGACTCAGTTCCCTGTTCCGAGTTCTGTAGTGGTTTGGAAACGTAAACCTGGGGGAAGACAAAAGCTGGTTTGTCTGTCAGAGGACTAAGGTGCTTTGTGGTGATGTAATGCTGTGCTCTCTGCTCGCTGCGCCTCCTCCCTTTCCCTTTGCGGGGCTTTCTCAGCATCTTTGCAGAAGTTTCTTCTAATTTGCATGTTTAGGGCTTTGTTGTCTGTTTGTGCACTTACCTATGTTTAGGGAAGACATCTTCAAAACTGTTACTCCTGTTTTTCCGAGCAATGTTACCACTCTGCAGCCTCTCTGGTCTCACTTGTCCTGGCCGGACTGATGACATTCAACGGGCCTTTACCAAAACCTTGTACCCTCTTCTGCCTCAAACGAGTTAAAATTTATATTCACGCTGAAATCCATTCTCTTTACTCTCTGAACCTTTCTTCCTCACTCCTGTCTTCTGTTGTTCATTTTAAACTTGCCAGTAGTGCTGTCATCTATCCTCCTGCTGGCTTGTGGATCAGAACAAGTTTTTGCAAAGTGAAGATACAGTATTTGAAGGCTATGGTTAAAATAACCAGTAGGTAACTAGTCTCTTCTCACTTAACAGTATGTTGTTTTTCCATCTGTTTGATTTGATGCACATTCAATCCCTGGCTGGCATGGCTTTTTTGTCAGTAGAAGGAAAGCCTCACAGATTATTGATTTTTTGGGTAGATTTTTCAGTAACAATACCGCTTTGTTGGTTTTCTCGTTTTCAGTCATTTATTTTTAGAATTTAATACAATTTCTAAATAAAATCACTTTCAAAAACCTGACTCCTAAACAAACTAGCGATCAAAACATCAAAGAATGCCATATGGCTCCTACCAGTCTTGTCGCTGTTAAATTTCTGAAGAGTGTATTCTGTGTTATTAATAATATTCAATGAAACACTGTCAGAGTGGGAAAATATTTACTGAAATTATTATGAAATATACTTTTCATAGCATTCTTGCCCGAGATGTTCCATTCAAAATACTAGGAGTGTGTTTTTGGATTAATCCATGCACACAGTGGATTAGAAGAAGATGGGTGCTGGGGCAGATATAAGTTATGGAGGGGGGAAGAAGATGCAGCAACTCAAGCGTTTAAAGATTTGTTGTATAACAACTTTTAATATACCTGCTGTTCATACAACGTACTAAATTGAAGTCCCATTCCAATAGAAAGGGGAAACTGAACTAGAAAAGATTGAAAGAATCTGCTGCTCTAAAAGCCTTCGGTATAGTTTATATGAAATCAGATGCTTCAGAGCTCATACATAGAGATAAGGAATATGTCTGTATTGTTTAAATCGGGATAATTTCAATTTCAACTTGAAAAAAAGTTGTCCTCGTATCCCAGTGGTTAAAATGTGAATTCTATCTTGTCATCTCAAGGGACAGAGGAAGAAATTTATTCTTCAAAATTAAATGCTGTAAAGCTGATACAGCTAGTAAGCAAGTTGCTGTAAATTGATGAGTGTATACTGGGTTTTGGTGTAGGACGCAGGAACAACACTGAAACCTCAGTTATGTCTTCTGGGCGTAAGTGGGGCCCTGCACAAGTTCTGGAGTCTTTGTTGTCAAAGCAAGGGGAGGCGTAAAGAAAATAAAAGCGCAGATGATGGCTGATCTAATTTACTCGTTAGAAGGACTTGCTTTATGGATATAGAAGACAAAAATGAGCAAACGTATGAGCAAGAAACGCCGAGTCCTTGCAACTGTCAGGTGGAAGTGGCTGACTGAACTGAAAATTGCAGGAGCTGACTAGACAACTACTGGTTTTTGGTTCATGTGGCTTATGATGTTAGCAGGTTAGAGCAAGAAAATGTGTTTTCACATTTAACTGCTTTAACAACTTAATTAGGACTTTTTCTAATCTTTTGACACTTGAAATACTTTTTTTTTTAATTGACTCTGAAGAAAGTGGAGAAAAAAGTAGTCTGTGTGCATGTGCTGGCTTTGTTTTGATTAACTTCTGGCCTTGAATACATGAATATTTAAGGTTCCAAGATTTTTATGCGACCTTTTCTCTCTAACTGAAACCAGAGATTCTTGTAGATAGTATCCCATAGAAATGACATTTAAAGGTGAAAAACATTCACAAACTTCATGCGTGTTTGGGATTTTAATGATGGTGTTTTTAGACTTGTCTGTCTCTGGACTGCATAAGGTTTAAATTATTTGGACTGCTGTTTTTAGAAGTATCCATGACGTGTTCTGTCAGCTGTTATGTGCATGTTGGATCAGTAAGCAACGATTAATTTAACATACTTTTGAATGTTAGAGTCTCTTTTCTGTTACTAGCCTTACATCGGTTTGCAAATTCATTGTCAGTATTTAAATAAATTCTGAATTATAATTAAGGAATTTAAAAGCTGGATATATCAATGCATGACTAGTTTTAAGGGAACGATACTGTGCTTTCAGTTGAGTTTTGAAAGACTACAATTTCATCAAAGCTCATCTAGTGGGAATAAAGTGCAGACCTGTAAAAAAATACTTCCAAGTTCCTAGAGAAGATATTCACAATCATAAATTGAGTGCTTTTAGAGAAATTTCAGGTTCTTATGGAATAAAATACTCTTTTCAACTATTGGTCCTTGAAAAGATTCCTGTGTGATAGCAACCCTAATCCAAACAGCAGAGGGATGGCAAAACCAAAATATATTAGATTCTCAACTTTCTTATGATGACAATGAGCTAATCTTCCTAGGTTAAATTTACAGATATTAATAGTTGCCTAATATAATGATTTTGAGCTGGTAGCCTGCTGGCAGAGCCTTTTTTTATTCCTCGAAAGGAGAGCTGCTGTTAGCTAGCCTAGCTTATTAGAACGGTTTCTTGGTTTTAAATTTGAAAGCTGGTTGATCAAATAAAAGTCTAAGTAGTGATGAATTTATTTTTAAGTGTTGCTTGTCAGTTTTGCAGTCTTTTACTTCTGCAAAGGGTAAGTGTGGGCAGCTGCAGTCCAGTTATCTCCCAATCCACTTACCTTCAATTTCAGAATTTGACTTGAAGAGATCATTGCAGGGCCTGTACTTATTTTCTGTCTCGGTGTTTCTTTGCTCCTAAGAGACTCATGCCTTTGAGGTTGTTATGGTGATTTTGAGAGTCCCTTGTTTTAATCTTAAAGCCTCATCCTAATTCCCACCTCTCTTCCCATTCAGCTTAGAAGCTCAAGCCTCCCGCCAATTTCTGCTGTGGTTACGGAGTGCTTAGAAAATCACGTTTCAAGAGGAGATTGATGAACCTTTTGAAGGCTGTCATGAAGCTTCAAATAATAATTTGTTTTGATAATTAAAAAAACCCGGATGGATGTGTGGCTGCATTATTTAATTACAAAATCATGTCTGTCCTTTGGTATACTGGGGAGTACTGGAAATAAAGCAGTTAGCCTTGAGGGAGAAGAGACAACTTGAAAGAAGAGACTTGCAAATGCTAGCACTTAATTGCCACATTAACATTGAATATATAAATTATTCTCTGTCCTAAACATGAAAGATGTTTTATTGCACAATATTAAAGCTGCTGTTGGGAGAACTTCACAGAACTGGTCATAAAACACATTTTTATTGATGCTACCATATACCACTAGTCTAGACAAATGACCTTCCCCACCCTGATACTGCGTTTATTGCTCAGGAATGTCACTTACAAAAAAGAAGCTGTCTCTGTCCTTGATGACTGGCATTGCAGGTCTGTTCCTGTGTGGTACCTTAACTGTGTTCTGTTTTATTTGTTCACAGGGTAGCCCTAGTTCTTTGAGAGTGCACCAGATACTGATGCTCACGGTAAACCATGGCAGCAACCCAGGCCAGCCGATGATAAGGTTGCCATTTTAACCGATGATGAAGAAGAACAGAAGAGAAAGTATGTGCTTGCTGATCCTTTCAATGGCATTTCCAAGGATCAAGACTTGCCACCCCATAATGAATCCCCGTCCACGGAGGCAACCACTGTCCCAGATGAAGAGCTAGATTGGTTAGAAAGGCACTGCGTCAAAATAAACAACGATCTTCTGATCTCGAAGGTTTTTTATTTTTTCTTCTACTCTGCATACGGCTCTCTCTACCCCTTGCTGCCTGTGTATTACAAGCAGCTGGGCATGTCACCCAGTCAGAGTGGACTTCTGGTGGGCATCAGGTATTTTATTGAGTTCTGCAGCGCTCCCTTCTGGGGGGTGGTGGCAGATCGCTTCAAGAAAGGGAAGATTGTCCTCCTCTTTTCGCTTTTATGCTGGGTTTTATTTAACCTGGGGATTGGATTTGTTAGACCAGCCACCTTAAGATGCGTACCAAAGGGCCCTCCCCCAGCACATCCCACCAACGCAAGCAGCCTTTTAACAACAGCTCCGCAAAACGTCTTGATGTCTTCTCTGCTAACTCTGGCGAGTACTGCATCCCCAAAAGCTCGTAGGAGGAGAGACCTGCTCGTTTCCAGTCCGGTCACTTTGGAAACAACAGGGACAGCTAATCCTGAAACAACATTTCTGTTACCTACACAGAGCAACGGTACGGAGTTTGTCTTGGAAAACAGCACTACTCTTTTTACTTTGAAAAACACCACCACTAGCCCAGTGTCACCAGGGAACGTGACTCCAACTACCACCCCAGCTGCCATCACCACAAAGCCTACGCGTTCTGACCAAGCTGTGCTCGTTTATGATCAACAAGAAGTAGAAGCCATCTTTCTACTCATTCTGCTAGTCGTCATAATAGGAGAATTTTTCAGTGCTTCCTCTGTTACTATTGTGGACACCATAACTCTGCAGTACCTCGGCAAACACAGGGACCGGTATGGATTGCAGCGTATGTGGGGCTCTCTGGGCTGGGGGCTGGCCATGCTCTCCGTGGGAATTGGCATTGACTATACCCATACAGAAGTTAGCATTGAAGGTCAAGGATGCAAAGCTCCCGAGTACAAGAACTACAGGATAGTTTTCATCGTTTTTGGTGTTCTGATGACAGTGGCATTAATCGTGGCCACCCAGTTTCGATTTCGTTATGCACACTTCAAGCAAGACGAAAACAAGAGAAAAGATGTAGCAATCCCACAGGTGAACAGAAGTGCCTCCAATGAATCCTCTGATAACACTCCTACCAGTATGAGCCAGTCGCAGTCTTTCAGGTTTTGGGACCTAATAAAACTGCTGTGTAGTATCCAATACAGCTCAGTGCTCTTTGTGGCATGGTTCATGGGCTTTGGATATGGCTTTGTGTTCACCTTTCTTTACTGGCACTTGGAAGACTTGAATGGCACCACCACTCTCTTTGGAGTTTGCTCTGTGCTCAGTCACGTGTCTGAGCTGACTGCCTACTTCTTCAGCCACAAATTGATTGAATTGGTTGGTCATATCAGGTAAGATGTTAGCAATCGTTGAAGAGCTGTACAAAAAATGTTGAATTTCAGGCTTAGCCGTGTGTTACAAAGTGAAATTCAAGATAATCCTTTTATTTTAAAATACCAAACCCTGCTCAGTTATGTAGCTTGCCTGGTGGAGTGTTTTATTATTTTAGGAGTTGAAAATGCTCTGAAATATTTCCTTTGCGTGTTAGTATGTGCATTATGTCTGGCACCATAACCTTTTGCAGACGGTTCCAGAAGACATCCTAGTTCACTGATGCAAAGCTCTATTAGAGATCTTTACAAATTGCCCCCCACTCAAGGATTGCTTTGACCTATAAATATCAGTAATTTTACAGTTTTTTTCCTTTGAGTAGCATCGTTCTGGAAACCTCCTGCTTTAGCCTGCTTTTCTTTGTGGGGCAGTTCTTTACCCCCACAGTAGCCTGGAGAGGTGTCACTTGCACGCTGGGAGGGGAGGAGGAGGATGAGATGAAGAAGCAAGGTAGAACACCTCCTGTGCACATGCCCTGTACTCAGACTCTGGGTGTTGGCAGAATGAGGTTGCAGCCTGGTAGTGTTGCTTACCGGTTCGGTTCCCTGCTCCCTTCCTTCAGTTGCAAGTGCGTGTGTTAGCTGCTGAAGTGAGATGGCTGTGCAGGGCTTCTCCCCTAGTTTTTACCTTGTGTCAGTGAAACCGAGTACTTCCAGCATGCTAGTGAACATTGTTTTCCACCAAATTCACAATTGACTTAATTTCTGCACATTCTAAATGCCTTCACTACTCTTTAAAAAAAGAGCTCAGGGGAGGAAAGATGGGGGGAATCTGAGTTAATGAAGTCATAAAGGGTTTTTTCTGCATTTACTCAGGTACTCGGGGGGAATCTGAGTTAATGAAGTCATAAAGGTTTTTTTCTGCATGTGCAACTGAGCACAGAGCTCTGTGTGCTCTTAGTGTCGTGGCCTTTCCAAATGCCCTGTGTATAATCATGCAGTCATTGAGATGTAAGTGGTTTTTAACCTGTCCAAGCTGTTCTTCTTGTGCATTCTGTTCTGTGGTTTTGCTCTTCGATCTTCTGTTTTGCTTTTATTGGGATGAATTTTTTGATTTATTTGACCTCTACTAAAAATGTCTGGGATGCTTAGCACAGTAATTTGGGAGATTACTTAAAGGGTTATTTTTTTTTTCCTTCCTTTAAACTGAGGAGGATCTCTTTACTTTGAGTCAGTCTTAATCTCTGAATTTGACAATAATTAGTATGAGAAAATATGACACCCTGCATGCAAAGAGTAGAGGAAGGATATGATGATGGAGTGGTGAGAACAGATCACAGTCTTGATAGCTAAAGATAGCTCGAGTATGCTTTTTTAGTGTATATTGTTATAGTACAAAATTCAGGCTTAGACCAAAACCCAGAAGAATGGTAGACTTGTGAATAAGATGAAATAGAAGAGGGATAGGAGCATTGACCAGTAAAAAGAAAGATAATGTACAGGATTAAGGCCTCTTTTTAAAATTTTTTTTCTTTGTGCTGTTAAGCCTATGAATATGAAGCCAAGATTGACCAAGATTAAGTCGTTTAAACACTAGCTTCTATTTGCAATGAAACAACATTCTTTATATATACACCTGGAAAAGGCGCATTAGTCATATTTTAATGTTATCTAGTGCTTACATGTGTTTAGTCATCACAGTTTGAGATGTCTCCTTCTGGCTGTCTGTCGTCTTACAGTTTTTGAACTTTGTGTAGTGCATGGTTTGTTCAAGAGGAGATAAACTTTTTTATTTTTTTGAGAGAGGAATGTATAGGAGTTCATACCTCATATTCTTTGATAGTGCTGTATATGGCAGCAGACATACACAGCTGCCTTATAGTACAGATATTCATTCTCCCGTTAGAAAGAAACCATACCCTCCAACTGTATATCCTGGTTGGAACCATCTTAGCCAGAAGCATTTGGGATCGGTATTTTATAAATTTAAATTATTTTTTTAATAGCTCAAAATTCCTTGTTTACCATTTTTTTGGCATAAGAGCAGTTACATGTTTATGGGAATTCTGGTATAAGGTCTTGTGTGAAATAAGATAGAAGTATCTCTTAATCCACAGCTAGCTGAGAACATTTCACAGGGTATTTCATAGTTAGAGCGAAGGTGACTTGACATCTCTTTTTGGAAAGATGACTTCAGTTCTGAGATTGTCTCACCTTCAATTGACTTCTGTCGCTAATGTTAATTTATTTTTTTTTTTAAAGGGTATTTGCACTCTTTCTTCTGGACTGTTAGACTCCTAGATGTAGATGGTCTTTCTGCAGTATTTATTTGAACATTAACATTCAATCTTTCCCTCCTGTCTAGATTCTTTGAAGACAGGCATGAGCACCAGAATTGCATGCACTGTCACAGTAGCAGGAAGAAAGGCTATTGAGTGTCCTTTGTAGAACTGCAAGAAAACAGGCTTTGCAGCTTTGTCAGATTGAAGTTCGCTTCTCCTTTTCTAGCCTTGTAAAGCTTTCTGTTTCTACTGTTGTACACATCTAAGAGCCTTACAACATTTGGAAACCTATTCTGTTTTCACAGTGTTTTTTTTTAACTAATACTCAAATTATTGTCCAAGCATTTTAAGCATGATGATGCTGAACACGTGCTAATTAAAATGCCTGATTTCTGACTTCATTAGCCTTACTGTTCAGACACATGTGCACTGCATGTGTGCATGTGTTATACATGGCTGCTAGTGTTTCTGACATTGTGTGTTAGCAGGTCACTAGATGAATCTGGAGTAATGACAGTGGCCAGTTTAGCTAGAAAGCTGTTCTGTGATTGTATGGATTTAGGAGGGGAGGGAATATTGCAGATGTTAGGAGGGTATTTTTTACCTTGCCTCCTCCAGCCACCTTCTGAGAGATGACAGAGTAGATTTTCATTTTTAAAGTAAACTAAAGAGTTAAATAAGTTATCAGAAAGTGTGGTGAAGGCCACACATTTTTGAGAGGATATTGCGATGGAAAAGCATACAAAACTTGCTGTCAAATATTTAGGTACTGTTGTTGGACGGTATCCTGTGTAGAAGTACTCAAATGCCATTTTGTTTAGGAAGATGATGTTAATCTCTGAAAATAACCTCCTACTGGAGGTTAAGCCTGAATGTGTTTGTTTGCCCACAGTTCCAGCATGTGAGTTTTTATAGGAAGCAGTTATGGCTGTGAAGAGCTTAGTCTCCTTAACATAAATACAGATTCGGAGCTTTAAATGTTTAACCTGTGAATTGAATATGGTCTCTGTGGATACTGCATATAGGGTTCATAAGGAGCATCTGTTTACATTATCCATTTAGATCTGATAAAGAGCCTAAGGGATTATTAGGAATACATTTTTGAAAACACTCTGTAAATACAGGAAAGTTCTCATGTGACGTACCCCTCCAAAAGCATAATTCTAGAAATCTTCATAACTATAAGTTACCTAAAACTCTGTACATATTCTAACAAATTAAAAGGAAGAACCTGACTAAATTGCTGCTCTTAAACTCTGAATCCAAATCTTTCTGCAAGTGTAACATAGCAGAAAACTGGTGATGGAAAAACTACAAGGTAGGAGGACACCTCTGGTCTGGCTGTGATAGGGAACAGCTGAGATGGGAAGAAAGTTCTTGGTGCACAGGCAACATTTTTTCTAGACAGAAGTGAAATTAAGCTGGCAAGGACTCATCCTAAGCAGAGAGCTGGGCGCATCTGTACTGCTGATGAGGAAAAACAAGTATGTGGTGAGGGTATCCCCAGGGTATCCTTTGTATCCCCAGGATTGTGCATCACCTTGGGCCTTACTAGTAGGGGAATGTAGGAAGGAGCCTGCAGACCTTGTATGTTTGCTCACCTTTTGTGGCAAGTGTGTCCTAATACCCTTCAGAAATATGATCGTACATAAGAATTACAGTAAGTTGTGGCTGTGAAAGGAACTAAGTTATTTGTCTGGAACAGAAGGCATTAATTAAAGGGGGAGATGAAATTTATGATGCATGGTGCAAAGAACAAGTTTCTCTTTATTGTATAATGAACTTTTTCATGGCTTCCCATGTTTTCTTCAATGAATGCTTGGGCTTGCATTGCCTAAAGGCAGCTTAAACCAGCTATTCACGGACCTTACACGTATCTGGAAGCAACACAGCTTGGTCTTATGTGTGGATGGAAGGTGGGGCATGGAACTTCCTGCAAGCTTACCCAACTTGTTGAAAGTAAAATACATTGTCTTCTGTAAATCTGGGTTGTTGTGAAATACACAGGCCTGTCTTTGTAATTTTTAATGTTTTTTGATGTCACTAACATGATGAAAACTGATACTGGTTTTTTAGCTGTCAACATGTATATTTGGAGACCTCAAATGTTACGAAGATGATGCATTTTTATGATTGGAACTCACTCTAGATTTTTCAGTGGCTATATACCATTTAATTACATCTTGGTAGAATAACTAACTAAAAAACCAGCACAAAGAATAATGACTGTATGCTTACACCTAATTATCATTGCATTTATTTCACTTGTGCCAAACCAGGGCCCAACCAAGAAGTCATGTTCAGAGAGTACATTATCCTTGTCTCTGAAAAAAATCTTTAAAGGTTGCAAGAGCATCTTTTCTCAAACTAAAAACACGGTTTGAATTAAGTCTTTGTTTCCTATGTTCCGTCTAAAAATGAGAGAAAGAAGCTGGGTGAATAAGTACCCTGGAACTTCGCTAAGCTAAATCCTAAAACTGGAAGGGAAGTCATCAGGTTAAATGTGCAATGGGAAATGCACTGCACAAATAATTTTTATGCTTCTTTGTTTAAAAACCATTACAAGAGCTTTTTTCCCCTCTTCATTCTGAGATGCAGCATCTGCTGCTTTTCAACAGGGTGGTTAAGCTTTGTCCTGAGGCATATTGTTATAAACCATATTGCTTCTGTGGGATGTGTTTTTAGAGTAGTTCTGAGCAGTTTGCAGATACTGGGATTATAAATTTATATTAATTGGGATAAAATTAATCCATCTAATACAAACCTGCACCAGCATTACATTAAAATGGCAGAATGAATCTCTGAACGATTAGAAAAGAAGATTGTTTGGAAGAGATGTCGAATGTGCTTAGAAATGGTCTCTCTGAAATACAGTCCTGTGTAGAGCGTGGCACAGAACTCAACTTAGTTGAAAGCTCAGTGGATCTGCACTCCCTTTGCATTTTTTCTTCCATTAGGATTTTGAAGAGAGTCTTAACTTTACCCTCGGTTTGAATATGCGTCTGGAGTGGGCAAGAGGAGAGTTTATGTTTTGGTGTAGGACTTAAAGAATGTATTTTGTGTCGAGCAGATGCTTTAGACTGGCAAAGTGTTCGTACACGTGCAAATGATTTCTGAAGCAGTAAGCTATATTATAACATACCAAAAAAGGAGAGTGCCAACTATCTTGACTTCTCTTTTCCTTACTTTTTTTAGAGTGCTTTATATTGGTCTTGCCTGTAATACAGCTCGATACATTTACATCTCCTATCTGGAAAATGCCTGGACTGTTCTTCCGATGGAAGTTCTTCAAGGTAGGACAGTGCAGTAATGGCCTTCCAGTATAAGATCAAGTGCTTACATTTATCTTGTTTTCAAGTGAACTGTGATTAAGTAAAAATCTGGTATTTCTCTGTTTCTTTGACTACAAATATCCCAGAAGACCCAGGTTCATAAAACATTGCTGTTTATCTTGGGAAATATTTGACGTCAAAAGGGTGGGTTCGCATTTGATTGTGCACAGTTCTCTGTTTATTCAAACAGAACTGTGCGAGACCAACACACCCTTTAACTAAACAAAGAGACAGAAGCATGAGCTGGGTACACACCTACTGCAAATCCTGTTTGGTGGTAAATGTGAACTTCATTAAATGCAAAAGGTTGTGGTTCTTGAAAGGATGCCGTGGAAAAAAAAAAAAAAAGAACATAGCCTGGGTCATTCTGTCTCTGTTAAAATATTTTGTAGTTTTTCAGTGGTATTGTTTGATCAATACCTTTAGAATGCAGGGTGAGTTGTTTTAATAGCTAGAGAGAAATTTCTTCCAATAGCTTTGTCTGTGCTAATAGAGCTTCTTTAAGATACTTGCCCTTTAACTAATTTAATTAGAAGTACAGAGGTGTGGTCTATGAAAAGTAATTTGAGCCCTGTTTTCAAGTTGTGTTGTCGAAGAAGTCTGTAAGACCTTCGTTGCGATGTTGAAGTATAAATTGTTCTAACTTAGATTTTATGATATTTTTTTTGTGTCTTTGTAGTGGGTACCACTTCTCAAAACCAGGAAAAATCTAAACTATTTTACTTTCTATTTCTTCAGTATTTGAAGAATACCGAAATACTCGTGTTTGTAAGCTTGCAAGAGAATGGTTAATTTAAATGCAGAAAATATTTTCCCTGCTGTTAAAAATAATTGTACCATCTTTGTTAAAGCCAGTATTTTGGATTTTTACAATGCTACTCAGAAAATTTTCCACAGATTATACTTAGAAGTTTTGCTCTTCTATGTGCAGCATAATTTGAATTTGTATTAGCTTTTTCTACTGTAATTATAGAAATCTTTGTAAGGTAGATTTTAACCTGAGTTATAAAATGCCTTTGGTGAGCACTGTGCAGATCTCTACATAGACATAGAAAGAGATCTGTTTGTGTCCTGGCTTCATACCTCCCTGCTAACAAAACCAGTTTATTGTATTAAAACTGCCACAACAGCAAGCTTCTGAATTTTGTTATTAAAAAAACCCCCGAACCACAACTACTGAATTGATACTTTATCGTTCACACCAAGTGTTAAAATATGAAAATGTTACAAAGAACTTGAAGAATGCATATGTGTTATACTCTTGCTTGCTTAAACATCTGAATGCAGAGCTTTGGATACTGCCTTATAGGTAATCCTGTTTTCAAGATACCCCAACTCAAAATATAGGAAAAAAACCTGTGTCTCAACAATACAGCCATAAGCTTGTGCCCAGAAGCATCCTGTAGTCATGGCTGATAAAGAAGTTTCTTTTACTTCGAATCTTGTTTTTCTTCTGCCGAAATTTCGGTATGAATTGCTTAATATGTAGCTTTGCCTTTACAGCAGGACTGTGAGGGAGCTGTTTTGGTGGGTGTTTTGTGTGGTATCATCTTGAGTAATCAAGATTTAAAGAAAAAACTGAGGACTTTCAAAGCAGTACTTTCTCATAAATTCATTTGCCAGACTTTCTCTATATCTAGCCACTGCTGAATCATGTACACTTCGGTTAATGGTGCTATTTGCAGTTATTTATAGTCAGCAAATGAGAAAGTTAAAACCAAAACACACACACATACAGCTGCCCCCCAGCCCCCAAGCCTCTTCGTGTTCTACGTGCACTTTCCAGCCTGCATCTGACATGGTTTGTTAGCGTCCGTGAAGTCCACAGGTACGCTGTATGTGTGTCTAATTCCTGCCACTGCATTTGTTACATTCCAGTAATCTCACTTAGTGTGGTCGAATGGGAGATGAAGTTTAAATTTTAGAAGTACAGTTGGCTCCCCCTCCCTTTATTCTTTTCTTGTCCTCGCTCTTACTGGTTTTAATCTCTTCTTGATTCATTATTTCTTTTGGAGCAGTTACCAAATCCTGTTTCTTTGGGCTCTGCTTTCTTTCCTACACATCCACTGAATCTGTCAGTAGGGGTAAGAGGTGGCACCTTAATGAAATAATGCCACATTATTTTTGTTAAGTGAGTTTGTTGACTGAGGGAGGTAAGAGTTGTAGCTGCTTTGCATATATAAGGATTAGAAGTATTTAAAAACAAAAAGAGTAGATTGTGCAGAACATGTGGGTACCATATGGGCCACATGGCTGCATCAGGTTGGTAGGTCTTTTAAATTCCTTGGTGAAGTCCTTGTTACAATTGTACATAACTCTTTCTTAAGGGAGCTGTCAAATTCTATGTGAATTCCAGTTCCATCCAGTGGAGGGTTTTTAAGGACAGCAACAGTTTCAGCTGACTTTTATAAAGAATTTATTTTTCTTTCTAATGTGTTTCTGCAATACAAGAAGGATTATCCTCATGTGGTGTGCTGAAGGGCACGCAGAGATTTCTGGAAGATGACTCTGCAAACTGCATCTATTGACTGTAATAAGAACCATGCTGTGTTTTGGTTGCTGTCTGTAACTGGGGTGGGGAGGACTCTTTAAGTGCACTGCACTCTCAAAGGGGTAAATAAGGACATATAACTCACTTCTCAGTTTAGAGTTTTGAACCTGTATGCTGTATTGACTTGCACATGCAGTGTATGAGGGTGTAACAGCTTAGACTGAGTATTTAATAACTTAAAATTTCGGGACGTCCTCGAAGGCAAATGCATGTAGTTTATATGTATGTCATCAATCTGCAAACACACGAGCAATCTTGTTCATTTTTCACTTAACAGATTAAGGTTTGATATTCTAGTTAGCTGCAACTTACTGTTCCAAAGCAGCGGTCCAAATTCTCTGGTAACAGCTATGCTAGCTCTCCAATTTGCATAACAGGAACTTTCTAAATTACAAACAGGAACTTTCTAATTACAGGGGGGTGTCGCTCTCTACGTCAGCA